AGTAAAAAATAAATATTAATTAAAAAATTCTTGGGTATAGAGATAGGATAGACGAGGCGGCGATTGGAGCTAGTTGGCTGACAGTAGATTTTACAAGAGACGTGGTTCATGTAGCAAAGGCATGACCATGAGACTTACCCTGAGGCTTTAGCCTCTAATCAATCACCCAGTTGCAGGGGATGGACGAATTACGCCTCGAATAGCACAGAGGGGGGCAGGGGTAGAGTGAAATAAATGTACCAGGGAGATAGCAGACGGATTCGACCTGGCAAGAGGGAGACTTTGATAGGACCCAGGGAAGGACTACGTAACAATATCACAGACTCTGGTCAACATTTCCAGCACAAAGGTGAAGAAGGTGTAACGACAATGTGGAGTGTGAAGGTTTTTCATGAATGCCGCTCGAAGGAACACACCACACTACATTAAAAATAAGCACGGTAAAAATTTTGACAGGGAAGGCATGATAGGACGATATAGGAAATTTGAATAGCCCAGGGCAGAGAGGGAGATACCACAACTATTTAGCACACGTTTGGTCAAAGGATGGGCTTCACTTGTCTCCTTGACGAGTTGTAATAAGGTGCTACGAATGGCGAGACTCACTGACGATGCCGACTACGATGCCGGCGAAACGTCTGGGAATGTACCACGTCCACGGTCCGACTCTGGAAATGATGATGCATACAATGGACTCCGGACTAGGTGTGTTCCTCTAAGTCTTCCTACCAATATGATCAAGTTGCGAAAACAAGATCAAACAACTTCTAAAAATTCTTAGTTAGAATTAATGCAATCTGGGGAAATAATGATATTCAAACGATCAAGTTTAGGCATATTTTTATGTGATCGCACCGCCATTGAAGCACAATTTTCCTATGAGTAACAATTTAGGAATATGCTTCTGCAATCCCAAGTAGTGAGTCTTGCGAAATTAAATGGATTGGGTTGTGATTTAGTGAAGGAAAGACGAAACCGCCAGACGTCGATAAGACTGCGAAACCATGTTTCCTTTACCTCGGTGTCTCTAATCATACTTGAGTTCCAGAAGACGTCTACTGTAAAAGTATTTTTTTCTGCCTGCCGGCGGACAAAGAACAGCCCTTAGACTAAATTATTGCTGATAAAATAGAGCAAAGGCGGAAAAAGCTGAAGTGGAGGTTAAGGGATAGAATGAATGGCTTCACAGTCGCTTACCGACGCCTAACAACCTTAAATGAAGAAAAGCTGTGCTTCGAAGAATGCCTTAATAATTTCGTCGTGAATTGGCGCAACAGGAAAGCGAAGGAGGATAATGCCTTAAAGTAAAGATTGCAAGATTATGCGAAAGAGTCCTTGGCTCAGCGTCCTGCTGTTCAAATGAATCGATGCAGGGCTTCGTCTTTCATGTGACAGACATCACCAGAATTCACATCTATTTGTACAATTATGAAGCTTAAAGGAATAGATAAAACAACCAACATCCTTACTAAGAGGAATGAGAAAATGAGTGCAAACTATTCGTGGCCGCTGAATAGGCTTGAAGCGAGGGAAAGATAGAAGGGGAGTAGGAAGGACCGCTGAGTGAGAGGAGGCTTAAATAGCCCCAAGTCTCAAACCTCAAATAACTTGAGCATTGCGACCATACAATGTACAATAACAAATACTGAAACATGCGTCAACATCATAAAATCAAAAGCTGGTATACATATGTAAGAAGAGAGTCCTACAGCATGATTTTAACAAGCTAATCAAGAAAAAGTATTTCTATTTCGATACAAACCATGTAGCATATAGATGCTAACGAAGGTCTTGACATTAGAACTACTCATTATGATTTGGTGGTGAACTGTGTCTGTATATGCTATCTCTGCTCCATTTGGAATTATCGCGCCTTAGGAATAAGGCTAGTTTCATCTGGACCCTTATATTAATTCAGTTAATACAATTATATTTCTCAAAAAATACCAAGAGATGCAGTCATATGGAATAAACGAAAGGGAAAATTAAAACGCCCTGTGTAGGTCTTGTTCAAATCAATAAATGGCATTGCATGTATACATTAACTCCACATTGCACTCTCGAATTTGGTTTAATAGAAGTAAAAAGCGCTATTTAATTTAGGAATCAAACTCGCCTTCAGGAGTGCTGAGCTGATCTGGAGCCATTATCGTCTTAGAAATGGATACAGTGCATAGTTCTGAACATGTCGTAGGCTGAGGCTCAGTTTGCTGTTGAGCCGATTCCGATTCTGAGTTGAAACTTAGATTCAATATCTGCTGCGTAGCGTTCGGTTCGACCAGCGAAGTGAGGGACACATTTTGCATTGGGGGGCACGCCGAAGCTATTCCCCCTGTAGTCATGTGTCTCATTGACGAATGGCTGTCGCAACTAGCAGAAATGGAAGAGGCAAGACTGTATTGCTTAGTTGTGAAAGAATATTCAGGCGTTGTAAAGAGTTCCTTTTTGACACAAAAAGAGGGATCTGTAGAATTTGATAACCTCGTTGCTTCCTGTGAACATGAAGAGGCAAGAAGAATATTCATCTCAGAGTTTGCAGGAGGTAAATGAAAGAGCGAAGCATCAGGCTTATTTGACGAAGCAGTGTTCATTAAATCAGATTGAGTGAAGTAAAGCATTTCAAGGACCTCACCATCCATTTTCTGCTGAGTATGTTTCGGCTCCAGAGTAGTGAATTGTGTTACTAGAGTAGAAAGTTTAGAATTCGTATATCTAGACAAATCTTCATTTTTTTCAAGTTTATTTTGCATGATAGCAGGATTGTAATTAATGACCTGAATACAGGCTTCGAGGTCACGATTTGCCTCGGACAGAGAGAGCTCAGCTTTTTGGACCTTTTTTTCTTGATCCGCCAGATCCATGAGCCTGACCTTCATTTTCTGTTCATGAATGGGAACCTCTTCTTTCTGACAGGCAAACGAATTTTGACTGCTCTCTAACTCATCCAACCGATGATCCACCTCATGCAGCCCACGAGGGAGATGTTCGTTTCGTTGGACAGCGATTTCTTGCAAATTGTTGAAGTTATGACTACGTTTATCAAATCTTTCCTTTGTCTCTTCCTGTTCTTGCATAGTATTTTTAAGCTTCAATTCGATTGCATTCAACTCTCCTTCCTTGTGAGCCAAGCTCTTTTTTTGATCAGAAAAATAAAATTTTTCTTTTGGAAATCGATTATTTGCTTCAAATGTGCTGATATTTGTCTCCTGGATATCAGCCAGTAGTCCTGACGTTTCTAGAGGTATCACTTCCCGGATTTTTAGGGCCTCCTTCAATGGTGTTGAATTAAAAAAATTATCTCCATGTTTCGACTCTTTTTCTCGAGAAATTCCAGATTCAAAGGCAACGGGGTCAAAATTATCTCCTGTTGGAGGTGTCATTACAGAGTTATAAATAATTTCTACTTTATTGTGCAGCTTTTCTTCACGTTCTTGGTGATCAAGAATCGTGTTTTCCTCTTCAACCTCAGCAATGCAATTTTGAGTGTTGCGCCGCAGCGATTCAAAATTCTCTTCTTGAACCTCAAGTTCTCTTTTCTTCAAATCTAATTCTTGAGATTTATTGTGCGACTTTCTGGCTTGTAGTGTCATCCCGCTTTGTCCATGTGTTGAAGCTTGTTCGTGTTCCAAAACTTGCTCTACTTTAGATTCCAAATAATGTTCTCTTTCTTCTAATGAACATTCAAGAGCCTTCAAATATTTTTCTTTTGTTCTGACTTCATTAGTTCTTTCGGAAATCTCAAGCATCTTCTCATCTATATCACTCTGTTGCCTTTTCAAGGTATCATCGAGAATCTTGAGGCTTTGTTGCTGTTGAAATACATCTTCCTGCTTAAATTTAACTTTTCTTGAAGCTTCGCCAAGTTGCAAAATTTTCCCTTCAAGGACAATTTCCTTCTCCGAAAGGTATCTTTGACGAAGTTCAAGATTTACAAGTTTTTCATGAAGCTGTCTCTCCTTAGTTTCGAAATGATGTTCTCGATCAAGTAAAGAAGCTTCTTGCTCTAAAAGTGACTTGGTACGTTTATTAATTTCAAGCAGTTTCTGGTCGAAATCTTGCCGTTCAGTCTCAAGTGAAGTTCGCAATTTCGTTAATCTTTGTAATTCTTGACTACAGCAAGCAGATGAGTGGCCAAAGACTGTCGGTGAACAAGGAGAATTTGTTATCTGAGACTTGGCAGTAGGTATAATTTTAAGGCTATTTGTTATCCCCGAAGGATGGTCCTCCGTCAGTTGCTGTTGAAAATTCTCAGAAGAGTCATCATTGCCCAAGATAGACGTAACCGGAGGATTGGTCTCAAAGTTGACGACTTCATCAAATTTAATAAGGCCATTTCCAACAGCATCTTTTTCCAAAGATTGAGCTGTTCCAGAGGATGAGGAAGGTTTTTTCTCAAATGGAGGTATATCTTTGCATAAAGTCCTCATATCAGACCCAGGGCCGAGGGATGCAGAAGGGGGGGCATTAGCAGTTAGAAAGGAATGGTCCACATCATTCGGCTTGGTGACCCGTTTACCCTTAAATAAAAGTTAAAAGTATATAAGAATGGACATTATTATTTTTTATTGGGATGTGAAATACTAGAGAAATATTAATGGAGTATAACAAAATGCTAAATAATAAATAAACCAACTATATTTTAAAATGGGCAAATCTCATTTTCACAGCTTGATCGTGTTGTCAGACCCACTCAGTTTGACGAACTTTGTCCGAAGTCCTCTAGTATAGTAGTTATCATAATTCCCACCGTCAACCATGGACTTGGTACATTTACAAATGGTTCGCCGGTATCGCTAGTGAGTCTTGCCATTTTCAACACCAAGCTAAAACTCGTAAAAGATACAAGTGAAGTCGATCGCCTGATCAGCCCTCTGCCAAACGGCTATGCTATCCCTCCCCTTCCTATCCTTGCTTCTTTATCTACTCCCTAGCTTCTTATCTCACTTTCGCCCTATAACAATTGCTAACTTGTTTATAGTTAGCTCCTCTATAAGTGCCCTTTTGACCGAATCAACTGTTGCGTCATCACACCTGCTGCTTATCTTGCCTCCTAAACCTATCCATCTCAACTTACTGGGTCTATTAAGATCTCCTATCCGATTATACCTCATGGGCCAGTAGATTCATTTCTTATCTTTCTGGTCGACTAATTTTACTCAGTTAACGCGAAGAAAAGTTGGATTTCAAGGAATCTCGTGTTTCATAATTTTGAGGTTAATTACATTTCGAGTGAAAGTGTTTGGTGAAGTGATTCGAAGGTCAAACCAACCAAAATACGACAGCAGAGTCCTCATGACCGCTGTCGATTGGCTTTACTCGAACATTCTTCTTGACGCCGTTTCCGAGATAACCTCCTTCTATTTCGAAGAAAACGTGCTAAGCTTTCGTCCGTCGTATGACGAACATCATTAGAGCAGAGTATCATCCTTGCTACCATATTAAAAATAAAGAGTCAAGAAAAGTTACCGGTTAATCTGTAAAAAGCTGTATATATATTGTATATCTGAGCTCTTTGATGAGATATAAAGTGACTTGGTTAGTTCCAGTCATATGTCAACTTCGGAGCAAGTGAATGTTTCTGCCTCTGTATGTGTTTGCATATGTATGAAACCAGCAGCGATGAATCCAATCTTTTAGGACAGCAAAAGATCTACTTATTTCTCTTTACGCATTCACGGTTCAAAAAGGTATTTTTTAATTAAGACAATGGGAGTTTAGAAGACTCCCCATAGATAAGCTTGATGAAAAGACTTTCATTTCATATAGAAATAGATGAAGAAATTCACAGGTCAATCTCACCAGGAAACGTCGGCTGATTCGCGTTGTCCTCCAAGGTTTCGGGCGAAGAGGGGCTAGGAACATCGTCACAGCTGGGACTCATTCTTGTAAAAGCCTTAACTTAATACTAAGTCAAGATGACTCAGCCAGCGTTTTCTGGTGATATTGACCTAAGAATATCTTCATCATGTACTCCCATACGAAATAAAAGTCTTCGCATCAATCCTATCTCAGGAGATTCTTTGAAACCCGTATTTCCTTCGTATATACAAAATAACATTTGATTAATAAAGAATACCTTTTTGAATGGCGAATACGTAGGGAAATAAAAAGACCTTTATCCATGTTTTGTCTTTGCCTTCATGTATTCTCTCTAAATAAAATAGACGAACTAGTAAGGAAATGGGGAATAAAAACGGTTTTCAGGGAAACTGGAACACTTTATTCAGTTATGCCCACTTTTAGAGAAAGTTGACCCATTACCTAGATTGGGTTGCTGCAAATTGATGTATTCATGTGGTCGTTTTTATTTTGGAGAGACTTGTATTCCCACTGAACAAAGGATGACTAAGCACAAAAGCGCCTGCAGAGGTTGTTAGGTTCAAAAATCAGAGCTGGTTGATCATAAGATAGGAACCGGACACGAGATTGAATAGTCTTAATCTTCTCGTTTTGCTGATTATGGCATGTCTGCGGCTAACGTAAAATCAGAGAAGCCATCGAAATAAGCTGAATATGGAATACATCGAATGTAAGAAATACTGGCAAGAACTTAAGTAAAAATTCGTGTGCTTAATTAACACACTTAAGGATAGAAAGGATGTCGAGCCGTCTGAATGAAGGAGGCTACTCAACTAGTCTTTTATTGTCTTTGTTCTAGTTACTGTCACTTATCTTTACTTTTTGCCCACTTTTACCCTCTCCCATAAAGATAAAAAAGATCACTAACATAACCAGAAATATATCCGACCTTGCGCAATTTAAGTGATGGCCAAAATATATACAGGGGTGATGGTGGTCATCAAACTTTTTGTTGTTCTAATTACTTTGAGCAATTAGTGCTAGTTTCGTACATATGCAAACACACACAGGCACATACACATAACGAGGCAGACACACTCACATGCACCGAGGTTAACATATGACTGGAACGAACCAAATCACTTTATACCTCATCAAAGAACTAAGATATATACATACAGCTTTTTATAAATAATCCGGTGACTTTTATGGACTCATTAGCTTGAATATGGTAGTAAGGATGATACCCTGCTTTGATTGATGTAGTATCCTGTCTGTGTTGTGTCTTCTGCTTTTTCTAATTTTTCTCTATCCATTTGTACGCAGATTCTTTGATATTCCTTCATTCATACACTGATTTCTCTGGCTGTTTCGCCAAAATATTTCCGCTATCAGACGCCGCATGCCATGCAGTCAACTTCTGAGAAACCCCATCTGTCCGCCTTCTAATGTTGTGTCGGTAGATTTGTGAATACCGTGTTTTTTCATTCTTGACCACTTAAATATTCCATTTTATTAATACTGACAGTAGTCTTTTGAGCTAGTCCGCAGAAAAAGGGGCATATCCACTTCTATGAGTCTTGCTTATTCGATTCCTTTCTGATTCGTTCTATTTTGGGTGTCCTACTAAAGACAATTAGATAGTTAGAAATGGTATCAGTCCATTTTCCTCCCCCAATTTTATCATAAATTTAACTATTAAATCAAGTTGGTCTAAAGTTTAAAGTAGTAACCAGGACTTAAGTGGTCCCTAGAGCGAACACGTGTTTATGCCATTAATACCCGAATAATTAATTTGCATTATGGTTGTACGGAAGAGAAAGTTTGGAATTCCATAAGTTTTTTAAATTAACTTTAGGGAGAAGTTAACTTTAACATAAATATGGAAAATGATAGGCATTCCATGATTTCGAAGTCATTAGCTCCAACAGGATATTCAAGAGAAGACTATTCAGAAATAAATCGCAATGAGGAATAGTAATCAATTTTCAGACTAATCAAAACTAAGAAGTATGATTGTAAGAGCCCTAATCTTAACGCAAATGCAGTTCTGAGAAGATGAATCGAATAAGTCGGATAGGAAAATTCGGCCAATATTAAGAAAATGCATAAACACCTCTAGGACATAAAAATAAATTGCAGTCCACCCTGGATGAGAACAACTTTTGGGTAAGCAAGGCTATGTGAAATTCAATGGAAACGTCAGCTCAACTCATATCAGTGGGAAAATTTTACTACCAGTTCTTTATCACCTTAGATTAAATAGGGTGAATACATCTCATATTTCAGAAGAATGAAACCAGAGTAGAATATAATTATGCTTGAATAAACCCTTCAGAGGTATGTCCCTCAGCAATATTTTTAGATAAATGAATTGTGATAAAGGAAGAAAGAAACGAGGATACAGCTTTATAGGATAAGTGAATATACCAGGACATGTAATTTTTCGCTAAAATGGAGAGCAAGCAAGATCCAACTGCCAGTCCTGGCATCTATTAAATGGCCTTCTCAACTGGGATATTAGTATACATTGATACGACATAGAAACTTCCCAAAATGTCCGCATCTTTAATACTCTGATGATCTACTAATCTAGCAAATTCATAGGAATTCTCCATCGAGTATTTCCATTTCCATCATATGACGGAAGGATGCTTAACACGTTGTCACCAGAATAGAGGGATTGCCTCGGAACCAGCGCCATCAAGAATATTCAAATAAAGCCAATCGATAGCTGCTGTCGTCGTCTGATAAGATCGACCCTCAAATCTTTCACCACCCCCTTTTTCTCGAAATAGAACTAAGCTCAACAATTAATCAATTTAGTTTCGCATTGATAATTGAGCCAAAATCTTGGCAGAAACATCCATAAGAGTTAAATAGGCTTACAAATCAAATATATTTTGAAGGATAATATATTTTTAAGAATGAAGTCGCAAAAAAGAACTTAGTAACCCCAGGTCACTTAAGGTGATTAAAGGAAGGATTGTTAAGTTTGCCCAGCATAGGACGAGCAAGCCTTAAAAGGCCAGTAAATTTTACTTAGTCTTGCCTTCCAAAAGGCAATCTCCTCCAGAGTGGACTACAATTTCAGCCTAGCAAGTCCACAAGGATTCGAAGCCAGGTAGTAAGTATCGTGTCAACGTGACCACTCCACTGCGCAGTTAGTCAAAGGATGGACTCAATAAAAGTCATGACAATTAGTTCATTCGGCCAACATTATCGAAGAAATCCTGACCATCCATCCGTGCTTCTAATAAATGAATCTTCTGATGATGAAGTATAAAAGCTTTGGGCTGCTGATAATACCATCTAAATTACGATTTTTAAAAACGGATTAAAATTTACTTCCGAATATTGTAATTAACTTAATGATAATTTATCCTCATGGCTTAAGTAAGAGTACATGACCTAAAAAATAACAAACCGGGTCGTAGTAGGCAGACCAAGATGCTATAGCCTTAAATTATCTGACCCCGTATTCACGACTTGCTTCAGATGTCAAGGAATTTCGAAGAAAGAAAGCCTTATTGAATTATCTACTATAAGTTTCATTTCTTCCAGCCACGACACTCACGACCCAGTATAGAATCCCGTTGGGCCTGCTGACGAGACCTGGGCGAAGAATAAACTACCGTACACTCTGGATGAAATATACCTTTTTGAGGCATGACTTACCTAAATTCAGTATCATCCTGAGGCATATTTGTTTCATTGATGTAAATCTCAACTATCAGCCCTTAAACCACCTTAAGCGACCTATGGTGTCTACTTTCTTAGGCAAGAATTGCTGACAGTCTTGAGATAGACTTATATTGAAGACATGAAACTGTGAAATCA